CCTCCTCCTCCTCCTCCTCCGCCTCGGCCGCAAGACCTCACAGTTCAGTTTTTTAGGAGGTCCTTCAGAAAAAAAGGTGTAAGGAGATACATGGGCAACGTTGAGGGGGGTGGGGGGGGAGCTGGCGGCGGTGGATGACAACATTACCCCGACGTCTCACCGCTGACTGGTGTGCCAGCTCTGTCTTTTGCTCCACGGGCATTCGTCAAGTTCGTACTTGGGAGAGAGGGCGAGGAGTGAGGGGAAGCAGATGCTAATTTTCAGGGTTGGCCTACTAGGGGGGAACATCTAACGCCACAGCGCGCCGTAACGTGGATCGGGACGCTGTCCGGTGTGTCTCTGGGCTCAGATAAGTCGAGTGGAGGCGCGCATGGTGTTCTCTGAACTGAAGTGAACATTGTTCTGCTTCTGCCGGTTGATCCTGTTGGTCCGCGGGCACTTCCTGGACGCAGATGCATGTGAGGGAGAAAAACAAGAAGATGCTGTTAATTTAACTTCATTACAGAGACTTGCGTTGAAGTAGTTATTGGACGACTCTGGTGATGCTCAAGACTTTTCAAGACCGAAACCAGCAGGGAGTTGATCCCGCTAACATCTTATCTGATGTCCTCTTCACCTTTGACCTTAGCGACATGTTCTTCAATTACAATTAACATGTTTTTTTTAATGGCAAATATTAATTTATGATGAACCTGCATATTGTTCCATGATTGTGGTAGGATAAGAAAAACAGCAATGTTATGTAAAATATGGTATTGATCCAAATTCAGCGTTGTCCTCAAGTGACGTTCAATTTGTAGCAGTCAATAATAGAATAGAATAGAATATCTTTATTGTCACTATGCACATGTACAATGAGATTAAGAGCAGCTCCTTCAGTGCAATATAGAATAAAGTACAAAATAAAGAGAAAAAAAATAAAAAAAAAAATAGAAGAGATTTAAGTATAAAATAAGATAAGTTATATATACAGTATACAGTATAAGTTATATGTAAACAAAGTGATTATGCACGTATTTTTTTATAAACCGTAGCTTTTTCTATGTGTTTTGTCTTTTTGGTCACATGCAAATGCAGTTTTATGTCACTGACAACTGGATAAGTTATTAGAAACAGAGTTTTCTTGGTGACATGTAGACAGGTTTGGCGCCATTTTCTGTGCAATGGCAGACAAAGCTAAAATAGTGCTAGCGCTAATATTGTTAGCAAGACTTTTAACATGATTACACTTAAATGTGCAGTCATTCCACCGCTATTTTGAGAAACGGTCAACACATATTTCTCACCTCTTAAACAATGGTGCCGTTGTTGGTCGTCTACTAGAACCGCAGGCTGTTTATAAAAGCCAACGTGACACCACCCATCGGTTTGTAGTGACCATTTTAAAGTTTGAAATTTGGCAGCTGCCATCTTCCACTTTTGAAACCAGTTGTAATGAGCGAGAGCTGGATGTGACTACACACAGCAGAGTCACGCTCTTTATCATCCATTTTCCTTTTAATTTGCAAAATAAACACAGTTCTGCATTGAAGAAGCCTTGAAACCAGCAACTGAGATCCTAAACTATTTATCAAAATGTTAACTAACAGATCAGGTGAGAAGTAGAGACGTTTTTCTATAGACTTTTGTGCAATCTGACTTCTTTTTATAACAAGAGGAGTCAAACCCTGCTGGCTGTTAGAAAGAATGCAGGTCCAAGCTCTGCATTGACTGCGCTGTTTAATATGTGGTTGGAAGCAGTAATAGATATTTTCTCAGTCGTCTGATTGGCCAACATGGTTAGAGGTATATCGCTGCCTGTTGTTCTGGTATACTGTCGACAGCGCTTGGTTTTTGAGAAAGAGGAAAAAAAAAAGACTAATGGTCATTTTCAGCTCCGACTAGTGCTTGCAGTCTTCCTCTCAGGCTGCGTACGCTCAGCAATCTCCTCCAATAAGGCAGGGCAACCTGTGCTGACCGAGAGGTGAAAGCCGGGGCAGGAACAGTTCCTGAAAGATTCACCGCTGTTCACAAAAACTGTTGCTGTGAGCACCAAGGGAGCAACTGAAGGCAAATCAAATGAGCAAGAACATATTTATTTTATTACTGCCCGTTTGCTTTTCTAGACTTTCGCAGCTGGAATGTGAGTGATTATAATATTTTAAAATAGTGTTCACATGTTTTGTGAAATTTCTAAGCCCCTTTAAAAATGTAAATGCTGTTTTTTTTTTTTTTAAAGATTCCCATCTTTGGTGAGCACCAGGGGGCTTTGGGTTAGGATAGAGAGGTCAGAACGCTTTGAGAGACCAGCTAATGCATTATCGGTTTTGTTCTGTTCTTGCGAGCGGGGAGAAAATACAGAATAATGTGGTAGCAACATGATATTTTGCAGTGAAATCCTTAGGAGCAGACCTTTTAGAAGATGTGACAGAATGCCAGGAAGCAAAGCATAGAGATGACCTTTTCCACTCCCGCCTGTTTGTCCTTTAAGTGAATCTTTACAATAGGCAAAAAAAATCACATAAAACTCCAGCAACATGCAACACATGAACCGCCGTCCGTCCGGCAGAGATGAAGCACGAAGGTCATTCATTTGCTTCTTCATTCTTGTAACGAGCCGTGAACTCGTACAAGGCAGGAGTTTTTTAATATTTCTGTGTTAAATGGATATCGCTGAGCTGCAGGAAACATTAGTGCTACTGTAGCTGCGTTCGGTGTTATAAATTCTCTGGTTGCTTCTTTATCTTCTCTCCTTACCCTCTCACCCTGCCCCTTTACAACCGCTCGCTCTCTCATTTTTGTCCCTCCTCCTCCTCCTCCCCTCCTTTGCTCCGAGGAGCAGTTTTGTCTCGGCCAAAACTCTTTTAAAATCTTTTATTAAATGTCATAAATTGCTTAGGTCAGCCGGAGGCAGACAAGCTGCAGGCTATATATATGTGTGTGTGTGTGTGCGGGTATGTGTGTGTGTGGGTGGGTTTTTACTGTGAATACAAAATGCCTGTTAAAACACCACCGTGCATGCTTTCCTGCACAGATAACTCCGTGTATCCGTGCTGGTGTGTGCGTGCCCTCGGGGAAAGTGACGGTACTTTCGCTCCATTGTGAAAAGCTTGGGTGACCTTTCAGCTGTTTCCTCCGGGCTCGAGAGCTCCCAAATACACACAACATGGAAAATATTGCTCCCAGGCTCATTAGTAGGCTGTGTTTGTGTGTGTGTTGGGGCATGACTCACCTGGTAATGCAGAGCACCACCACACAGATGATGACCACCTGGAGTGCTCCGATGATAGAGGCGATGAGGACGTAGTGCAGTTTGCCAGAGCCTGGCACCACATACAGCACGTTGTACTCTTTGATGTCGCACTGAGGGCCCCTAAAACCCGAGTGACAGCTGAGATCACACACACACACACAAGGACACACACACCACACACACACAAGGACACGAGTGAGGAGAAAGAGAGGGGAAAGCGAGTCATTGCTTCGAACTGAGCGACAGGTTAAATCATTTCTACGATTCTAAATGAAACGTCATCACCCATCTGATAAAAAGATTGGAGCGCTGCATCACTGTGGAGCTCCCAGAGGGTCGCAGTGAGACCTTTTTTAAGGACTACTTTTCCTCTCACCCATTGCGAACGGCT